GGGTAGGGCTAGAAACTTGCCTTGAAATCCCCATGGTTCAAGCCCCAGCTGTGACCTCACACTGAACTCTGACCTTTTCGGGTGCTGTCTCTTCTTGTCAAAGCTTGCCCTTCAACTCTGCTCACCCAACCCAGGGCCGTGCAGTACGACTTCTAGTGACCTTATTTATAGGACAGAGCAGACCTGTCACCTTGGGTCTGTACATCGTCGCTGGGAGCAGACAGCCTCATCTTTCTGCAGCGGAACAGCTGATGGGTTAGAACCTGCTGACCTGCCTGTTAACAGCCTAAGCTTAGCCCCCTGGGCCACCCCTTTCAAACCAGAGCAAACTCTGCCATCTACTTGATGCCAACTCACAGCGACCCTATAAAACAGGGCGAAATTGCCCCTGTGAGTTTCGGAGACTTAACTCTGGACGGGTAGAAAGTCCCCCCCGGAGCAGCTGGTGATTTAGAACCGCTGACCTTGCAGATCACAGCCAGACCACTGTGCCACCAGGGGCACCCCTTAGTGTTGAGAAAATCAAATGCCCTCTTTAAATCATTAAAAGCACCTTAAAAGGAAAAGCCATGTTTGGATAGATGAAGCCATCCAGTCACTTTGACCGGCATTCATATTTCTCCCAATCCTGGGTATCTTTAAATCCAACAAAGTGTTTTTTGATTGTTTTCCACTAAAAAGCAAAACCGGGTATTCTCAAAAATGATTATACCTCCCAGAGTTAATTTTCTTGGGAAAATTGAAATGTAACTTTTGAACTGTCTCGTGTTATTTTTACACTTAAAAAAATAATGTGGGGGTGAACTGACCTGGTGGCGCTTGAGATCATCTAACTGTCAGGTCAGAGGTTCAAAACCACTAGCCTATCCAGAGAAAGAGGAGGCTGTGTGTCCCGGTCAAGGTTTACAGCCTCTGCCAAGAACTGCTGTGTCAGAAACCACCCCAGGCCAGTGAGTGTGGGCTTGGATTAGGTCGCATGGTATAATTCTTATTCTCACAGTCAAGCAGGTGTTGCACAGATTTTAACAATGAGATGATGATTAGAAACTGATAGTTGCTCCTCATTTGCTGATACCAAGAACTCAAGTAGAAAGAAAATGTTTTGAAACTAATGATGGTAAAAAGTACAAATGTGCTGGACACTATGTATGTCTGTATGTCTGTATGGTGATAAGAGCTGTATGAGCCCCCAATAAAATTATTTTTTTAAATGTACTAGAACACTTAGCATATTATTTGCTGTAATAAAAAATGGAAGCCAAAAGAAAGAAAGAACTTTATAGTTGCAGAAATACTAATGTTGCACGGAGAGCTTCTCAGGAACTCTAGCCACAAAGATTCCAAAGGTGCTTTCCCTCGAAATCAGATGTTAAATCAAGTCTTTACAAGGGATGCAAAAAGGTCAGCCCTCCTGAAGCACTCCTGCCCTCCTCAGCCTCTCTTCCCAGAATATTGCTATCCTCCTTCCTGGTTTCCAGAAATTTCTAGAAGTGATCTCATTTCATACACATGGACAGGAGCGTATTTTTACTTGTGATTTTAAACATAACTGATATCATGCTCTATACGTATATTTCTTCAAAATCAATGCCATCAGGCTGGTTCCAACTCATGGCGACACAGTAGACCTGCCTCTGTGGGTTTCTGAGATTAAATCTTTACGGGAGTAGAAAGCCTCATTTTGCCCCCCTGGAGCAACTGGTGGTTTCGAACTGCTTAGTTTGGGGTTAGCAGCCCAGTGCCTCACCCATTGTGCCTCCAGGGCTTTTCCTTATGTCTCTTTGCAGCCTGTAGATCTCTCCATCACCCATTGTGCCTCCAGGGCTTTTCCTTATGTCTCTTTGCAGCCTGTAGATCTCTCCATCTCAGTATGTCAACTCGACCTGTTTTCTTTTTGCACT